AGGAATGCCAAGTGACTTAGATTTGTAAAAGACAATGAGTAATGCTGTTGGGTGTATTTTGAGTGGGTAATTTTTTGGCTTACAATTGTTTTGTTTTAGGCCTCACAGTTAAAGAGTAATTTGCTTTACTAGGCTTCAGACTTGCAGTTGTCAGATAGACATCTCACTGATTTCAGTGTGGGCAAGTGGGGTTGGGCCCTCAGTAGAGTTCTGGGCACAGGACAAAGGTTAGTATTTTTTTTGTTTCAGGGAGAGATTCTCCTGGGTGCCATGTTGACATAAAGACATGTTGAAGTATCAAATCCTGTGCTTTTTTTTTTCTCTGAGATAATGACAAATCGAAACATTGCAAGAACTTGAAAATGGCATCCTTAGAAATACTTTTTCATTTTGAGAGGTAATAACTGCTCATAAAGAAAACGCAGTTCTTCAGTCACCTAAAATTACTTGCAAGTAATAGAAATTACTATTCTCATTAAAACTACACTAATGTAGAGCTTATAAAGTGAATGCTTTATACAAAAATCAAGCTTCCCAGGACCTCTGAAATAAACCTTTCCTTGATCAGTTCTTTTCTGCTGCCCCCTCACAACCTGTCCACTGCTGGACTGCAGCCTACTGTTTTGGCTCACATTGTGTATAGGAGAGGGTGTCCTGCTTACAACTAGGACGTGAAAAGGCTCAGCTCATGTTGTTGTTCTGCTACAGACTTCCTTTTTGATCTTGAGCTGCTAACTTAGCTTCCATGCCGCACCTGTACAGGACCAATACTGCTATTTCAGTGTTGCTGCTAGAAGCATGGAAAAATCAAAAAATGCTCAGTGATAGGAGTAACAGAACTACCTAAGACCAGTTGTTGTGGATCTAGTGGTGAAGATTTGAAGCTCAGTGGAAAAAACAAAAGTCAACAATTATTAAATGTCTCTGCTTCTTCATTTTCTTTGATATATTATGTCTGTAAGTTAACAGACTCTGCATGTGCAGTGGTTTTATGCTTATGTAATATATACTGCATGTATAAGTGAACATACATATTTGTAGTTCTTCAACAATTCCTGTCTGATACTCAGACAATTTGTGGATGTACACTTCTTTAAGTCACTGGAAGAATACAGCAGTGAAAAGCCAGTTACAGATAGGAAAGCAAAAGTTGATGTTACTTGTTATAAACAAATAAAAATCGTGGCAAAACCCTGGCAATTATTTAGGAGTGGTAGGACGTAAATAAGGATGCCAGAATGGCAGAAGTAGAAAATTACTGGGTTTTGACTGGGAATAGGCTGCATACTATTTTCACAGTTTACAGTAATAAAAATAATTCTAGCACTTGTGGTGACATAAAAGAGAAGCTGTTAAAATTAAACATTTTAAAGTATTTGAGTTAAAGCAATAAATTACACCTAGATTGTCTTTAAAGCTGAGAATTTTCCCTCATGTTTCACCTTTAACAAATCTTGGAAAACTGCAATATATTTAACTTTTTGAAAACAAGACATTTTAATTTTTTTTTTATGTCATGCAGTGGATATATTTAAAAATAGTAAATAGGATGGCAATAGTGAGTCTATATTGCATATAGAAAGGCCAGTGCTGGATGTGATCAATAAGGACTTGGAGAGAGCACATCTTGTATTAATCAGCTGATAGAGTACATAGTTTTGTCAAGCGTGTTTGATAACAGCTTTTCTTGAGATTGAAAGTTTTGGTGTTAAAGGTACCTATTGATATATATGTAGAATTCTAGAAGTGATTTCATTTACAATATAGAATGCTTGGCTTAAAACCGGGACCATGCCCGAGAAATGCAGCCAGTTTTAAGTGGATTGAAAGTTACAAATTATTAGATCTGCAAAGGCATAGGAATCGCAATCCACAGTAGGTATTTTTTCTGTTCTCTTGAGGATGTGATTTGACCACTCTTCATTGAATATCTTTGTCAGTACTTTTTGAAAAGTATAAAATCCTTCTTGATTAAATTTATTGATAATAAATAATAATATTGAGACCCCTCTTGATTGCCTTGTAAATGATTACAGTTGAACAGCATGAATTTTTCAGACTTTAAAGTGAAGAATAAAGGTCACATTTGTACAGTGGAAACATATATTCAATAAATCAGTAAATCTGAAAAGCATTTAAGGATCACAGTAGAAAATGAGTTGAACATGAATGAGATGCTTTTGCTAATTAGTCCAATGCAGTTCTTGGACTATAATTCTGGTAGTACTGATTAAAGAATATAGGCATGGCATTTCCTTTGGGTATAGCACTAGTTAAATGATTACTAGTGTATTGCATTCATTATAGCTATAAGAAAGAATTAAGAAAAATAGGAAAGGAAAGACAAGACATACAACAACTCCTAGTGAACAAATACCTCCTTTGCTCTGGGAAATTTAATAGGAACAGTCTAGTTAGTTTATCAAAGATGAGGTGGTGACTGGATCGGTTTGTAAATATTTGAGAAAAGGTATTTCTATAGAAAATATTTGGTCTAGCAGACAAAATCTAACAAGATGTCCATCAATTAATTTTTTCACACCAAAGCTGGGACTTTTTTTCTTTCCAGGAAACTATTCTATGGCATAAAAATAACATTTGATTCAGTACAAAAAGCACTTTATGAAATTCTCTGACTTGTGTTTTAGAAAAGGTCAATAGATATAAGGTCTCCCTTCAGGCTTAGTATGAATGATACATATGAGGATGGACATTGTTTGCACATTGTATTCTTAATTGCACAATTGATTGCATTTTTATTTGCTCATTTCCACTGTGATAGAGTCCAGAAGCTCCAGTTCTGACACAGTGATCAGAAATTGTTTAGCAAGAGTTTAAAAAGTGTTGCTTTAAAGTTAGCTGGAAGCAGAGGATGAAACCCTAAGCAGCAGCCTCAGGCTGTTTCTGGGCTTTTAGATGATAGTCTTCGGCTTTCAGAGTAAAAAGTACCAGCTGACACTGAAACAGAGAAGAATTGCATTATTCCCCAGCAGGCACATTTTTCCCAGTATAAATGCAGGGTACTGAACAATTTTATTAGCATAATAATATAAAAATTCCTCACAGTTATAAACACATGACTTGGCAAAAGCTGTTACTCTACATCACTATTGCTAAACTGACAACTGAAATGGTCACACCTCAGGATTTTTCGGATGCTGTGGAGAAATCTTTCTTTCCCCACCTTTTCCAAGGGCATATGTTAAAGAAACTCTTTATGCTACAGTTGATTTTGTTTGGAATGGGATTTCTATAGAAGCTCTCTAGCAGTCTCATATCTTTTTATAAATTCCATTTCCCTCAAATACAGGGGCAGTGTGTAAAGATGCAGTCAGTAAAAGAATTAAAATCCCAATTACTGTTGCTTGGGAAAATGATGACTATAATATCCTTTTGCCCATCAATAGGATGTTCTGGTCTCAAAAAGCATTTGTCCCTAGGGTTTCTGAAGCCAGGGCTAATCCATCAGCCACGGAGCACAGTTGATTAAAAATTGTCTTCACACAAGCCAATGGAATGCACAATGATGGAACGGTGGAGGAGGTAGCAATTCCTACAGTAGCGTGACTTCCCTCCCCAACCCAACCATAGGTTCTGATGTTTGCCCAAATACGAGCAGTGTATGTCTCCTCTTGAGACACTTTGGTTTTCAGCACTTCCTAAAACTTTAAGTTCTTCAATTGCAAATGTGAAACGGCAGAATTATTTTCTTAGGCAGTTTTCTTAGTGATAGTAGATGAAATGATGGACGATAGAGGATCAGATTCATGCTGAATTCTTAAATTCTGTGTTTGTAGCTACTGTGCTCTTGAACACCTTGTACTTTTTGGACTAGGAATCCACTAGGATAACTCCTGTAGTGAGAAATGAATATTCACCATTGTTCGAAACCTGAGTCCACATTTAGATGTTCAGTTCCTTTCTGGGAATGGAATTTCGGCAAATCAGGGAAACCTGTTATCCTTAGCATCCTTGTCTCTTGGGAATAATGTTGGATGATTCTGCTGAATATGTCCATTGCACATGGCAATATCTGGATGTGGGTTAAGCTCTTCTAAAAGCAGAAGGGTGGTAACAGAATAGCAGCTCGAACATAACAGAGTTTTGGATGACATCAGAAAGAGGCAGGGTTTCACTTTTTTTTGTTTTGGTGGGGTATTTTTTTCCATCTCCCTGCAAGTAGCTATAAAATCAAAATAGTGTTCCCAGGATTGCATTTAACTTCTGTTTCATTGCCACTGGAGGGGAGTCATAAGAATGAGAGAAGATACTGTGGAGCTTGAGGGAGAGATCTTTCTGCTTTTTTTGCTGTACAGTAGAGTTAATGAGGCCTAAGAAATCGGTGGCTTAGTGATGACAGGCTGTATATTTTTAGTGGAAAATGTTGACTTCCTTTGGAATAAGGATTCACAGTTTTCAAAGCTTTGTGAAATGTTTGGGCTCAAAAGCATGCTGAGAATATAATGTGATTCAGTGCAAGCTACCAAGCTGATGTGGTATTTGAGTCTTTTTCCAAAAAATACTATTCAATATTATTTATCATTTCACAGTGCTAGTATTGCTTTTCAAAAAGAATATTACAGTTACAGTAGTGCCCTTGATACATGCATCTGTTTTTGCTTGCGTTGGCAAACTTGTACAATTAACTAACTCCCAAACTGGTTTTCATTTTCAAGATCTGATGGCAACAGTCGAGTTCTGAATTGTTCAGATTTTGCAAGTTGGGCTCTAGAGATCAAAGAGTGATGGAGGTGAATTACTTGATACATCTGTGTTGGCAGAGCATGACCATTTATGTCAATACAAGTATAGATC